TGCCTAAACAAAACATGACGAGTAGCAAGAACTGTAAGGATATGGACGTTGAAAGCGTAACTACCACAAACTTCACCTACGTTTCCAAATCCATTTATGTCATTGGAAGGAAACTCTTATCACAGTTCTTTCAGGCCCCTGGCTCAGTAAATAGCCCAAATTTTGGACCGTGCCGTAGTTCCAGAGGAAGTGGGCGCAAAGATGACAGCAGAGCTGCAGAGCTACTCGAGGGATGGTCCTGGAGGATTACAGCTACCTCAGTCCTCATGTCTTGTTTAAAAAGACTTAAGTATTTTAAAACATGCATGGGAAAAAGGACCACAGTGATCTGCATCAGGCGGGGCTGTCCCTCTATACCTCACAGCGAGCTGCGAACAAGGACCACTCTGGTAACAAAGGCAGAATTTCTAAAGGCTGCTCTTTCCTCAGCCCCACCAAATCCATTTGTGTGGTAGGATCACACCAATCCCTGCGCTGTGGTACTCTAGAGCTGCGATGAAGTGGGAATCCATACTGCAGCAAGTGGAAAAGAGAGGCTGGACAGGGAGGAAGAGCACGCAGAATGACATCCACTGCAGCCATCGCTGACAAAAGTATATAACCCCCCTGCTTTCTCATGAAATAACCCTCTTTTCATCACGTAGCTATTCACTAAAGGCCGTCACACCTGCTGTTTCACAGTTACCAGTACTTAACCTTTGAGATCCTATAATCCAAAAGATGAAGGGTACAATCAAACTATGCTAAACAACGCAGATGCCTCCTTACGGCTTGTCTGCTTTTGCGTATGAAGAGCGTTCTTTTGCTTTGGTCCCCTGCCCTCTTCCCAGGCGAGATGAAGGCTAGTGCAGGGGAATGAATGGCCGAGATCAGGGAGGAGAAGGAAACCCATCTCCCTTAACATCATCAAGCCGTTAGGTTGGTTTAGTTGCAACCATTGTACCCTAGCGTAATTTCATGTTAGATAAAAGAGCGTACCCCCAAAAAAGACACGGTGCACATATAAAACATGATTTTTACTTCTAAGTAATGTTCATTTTTCAATAAAATGTGGAACGGGTAAATGTTACCAAAACACTGTTAAAATAAGAGGAGTAAATGTGGAAAAAGGCAAGCTTCCTGTTCTTCATGCCCTTCTCCCTTGAACTCTGCATCCACTGAGTGCTGAAGTCACCGTTAGCACGCGCAGCACTGACTTTTTTCAAAGTCTAAAACTCACCCCCGCACGGATCCCATAGTTAACGCTTTTCTTCCTCCCCTTACCCTTCCCTTTACGCGCGCACCGGCCAGCACCTCACGGAGGCTCAGCTCCAACGCTTCCCCAGAACCACCAAATTCATCCGCGCGCACAGCGCCTCTGACGAGGCACCGAGATGATTTTCAACACACATCGCAGCCCGGCCGAGTGACCCTTTTCGGGACAGCCCGGCGGCGACGTCCTTGGAGCCTACGGGCTGCGAGCGCG